TTATTTAAAACTGTATTACAGCAGCACAATGCATAATGCAACGTAAATCGCTATGTTTGTCTTCTGTGTAATAATGTTCACCTCTCTGTCCAGCAAATTAACAATAATAATAATAATTTACTTAATTGTATATGGCGCCTTTAAAGGTGGCTCCTCAAAGCGCTTTACAGGTTAAAAACAATAACAACAATACTGTTAGGCTGGGCAAACGATTTTTTTTTAAAGAAATACAAAATTAGATATAATGATGTGTTCCAGCTTAGACATTAACGAAGAGCATAACACGTGGGCGGCGTAGCAGTCTGCTCTGGCTTTCCCATCTACTGTATACAGATGCACTGCAAATACAACCCCCCTCTATGCGGGAGTGCTGGCTGTGATGAATTAAACCGGTTTCAAAGGTATTTTCAAAGTAGAACAGGGCGAGATTTCCAGCAAAAGACACCTCCCCCCTCAAAAACCCAGTAAGTACAGTACTTATTAGTTAAGAAAGCTAGGCTCCTCAATGAAATCGCTTTAAAATGCTAATGCGTTGGTGTAACAGTCCGGGCGTGGCAAGCTTCTAATGGCAACTCGACTACGGCGAAAGGAACCCTTCTTTCATTGGAAGACAATGAACATATTCTAGCCCTAAATGAATTAATAGCAAACATGGTTTACATAAAAGACATTTTTCCAAGAAAGTTTAGCCTTTGTCACTAATGAAACCACTAAATAAAGACATAAATATAGAAATCTTCAGATTTTTAAAATACATTACTTTGCTAAAATGTATTTAAAAATAAAAACGATTACAAACGCCAGCGGAGAGAGAGAACAGGGGAGGGGTGCTGGTTTTGCATAAGGGGCGGGGCTATGGAAATGAGGTTGAACTTGAATTTGAACTTTATTGCCATATGTAACCAGTGCTGGTACAATGGAATTCTTACTTACAGAAAGTCTCTCGATTGTAAAACAAGTGTAAAAAAACAAAACAAAGTGCAAACAGTGCATCAAGACAATGTACAAACAAACAAGAGACAATGTGCAAGTAAACATGCAGACAGTTTGAATGTAAACAATACAGACGTGTAAACAATGACTGGAGATGT